TCGCTTGTATTTGTAGCAATGTTTTATATTTTGTGGTGATGTTAGTTTCATTGGCAATTATTATTATTATTAAAGATTCGCCGGTATTCTCCCGGCCCGGGCTTTTTCCAAGTGGTGGCCCGGCTTTGGCTCCCGTTTAGGAGGCCCCGGACCAAAGCCCCCATGGGGGAGGCAAAGTCCCCCTCATTTTGGGGAACCCAACTGTCACCGGGCCTAGCCACGAGGGAATAAATGGAAATAAATACCGACCAATGGAAATATAAACACAAAGCATTTAAATGTGATCTTTATTGACAAGTTTCACCCCACCGGGGGTTTTTTTTAAAGTCACACAGGACTCCTGGGTTGGAAGGTGAGAGTTTTTATAGTCATGTCAGAATGTTGAGGTAGGTGGAAAATGCTGCATTGTGATCTACGGGGGGGGTTAAGAGTCTTGGGTGTTTGGGGGGGTATGGACAAGTTGTAGACCTTCTGCAGTGTTCTTTTCTTGTGTGGGGTAGCGATAAATTTTTCTTGGGAGGGGTTCGGCTAGTTATGAAGCCATTGTTCGGGTTAAAATTGTTGGTTATAGAGATAAGCGATGATTCCCGGTTCTTTTGTATTGGTTTGTCTTCGTTTGGGTGTAAGTCTTTGGTTTTGTAGTTAATTAAAAGGTTGTGTGAATTGCGATGTTGTAACGGCATTCCCCTTTTATCGTCAGCCTGCTTGCTATTTTGGGGTTCTGAATGCGTGTTTGGGTTTTTCTTGTGTTTGCCCCATATAATTTGTTGCAGTCGTTAAAGGAATTATGTTACCCCTGCAAAAGGTGGGCTTGTCCTGTCTCTACTGGGGATTTTTGATGGTCGTGGTGTGGGGGTAGAACTTTTTGGGAAAGATGTTTTGGCAAAGAGTTGGAAACAGTTTGGCAATGGAGTTGTTGGGGGGGAATTTTATTCTTCTCGGCAGTGTCTTTTCCCGGGTTTTGTTGAAATGTTTAATGCCCCCCGTCTGCAGAAGGTTACACTTGTCCAATACCCCCGCCGCTACCCCAAAATCTATAACCCCCCCCGGTAGATCCAATGCAGATTTTTCCACCTGCCCAAAATTTGACATGACTATAAATAATCTCGTACATTTCCAAAACCCGGGAGATCCGTGTGTGCTTGAAAAGCCCTGTGTGGGGAAACGTTTTCAAAAAGGATCACTTATACTGCATTTTTGGGTTTTTATTTCGTTTTTAACTTCAGTGTTTCATTTTTTCTTGAATTTTTTTTTGCTTATTTAGACGACCCGTTTATGTCATGTGTTTGGGTCTTGTGTATTAATCGTTCTGTGTTTTTATCAATTGTATTTGATTGCTTTAAAATTAAATATAAAAAAAAAAAAATCCCAGAAATTTGCTATACCTTCATCCTGAATATTTCCCCTTTTTCCCCGTTTCAATGTCTTTTTGGGTTTTTCACTTCCCAAGCATAAAATTAACAGATTGTTTTAAAGATTATTTTAATTTGTCCATGCAGTTCTATATGTATTATTTTAAAAAGTTTTGTAGTTTGTTATAGTTACTGGTGAAATGAGTCTATTAGGCTAAAAGATTAGTGATGTTTGTCAGGGTAATGAACATAAAGAAGCATTTGTATTATACTGAAATTCTCTCTTGACCACATAGCTAAGGGAATCTCTTATAATATCTGTACTTTGTTGCAAAAAAAATTTTGAAGATTAATGAATGGGAATTTAATGTACTGGGGAAACTACAGAAAATTTAGAATGCACATAAAACTTTATCAATTTATTAGAGCTGAGGAATTGTATAAATTAGGAAGCTAAACTGTTAAAGGTAAATTTCTCCCATATATAGTAATGATTACCATTATTGCTGTAGGAAAGGGTGGGTCACTGGTAGTGCTGCTGATGTCCTTTCCAAGAAAATGGAAGCAGTACCAGAGTATACTTAGTGGCCCACCTTTCCCTACAGCAATAATGGTAATCATTACTATATATGGGGGGGGAGAGAAATTTACCTTTAACAGTTTAGCTTCCTATTCAAATTTATATTATTCTTCTGATCTAGTAATGTGGAAAAAGTTCTATATGCATCCCAAATTTTCTGTAGTTTTCCCAGTTACAATAGCATGCCTTTCTTAAACCGAACTTTGTCTAGCATTAACTCCTATGCCAAACGTTGTTAGGTTTTCCTGTTTGCACTTTCCTTTATCGCTTCTCGGCCTTTTGGCTAAGATCAAAGTGTAGTATCTGTTCTTATCAGCTTAATAAGAAGCTAACAGATACACTAACAGAAAGGGAAGAAAACAACAATGGTGATTACTGCTGACCTGTGACGGAGATGGGAGAAGGAGATGACGACACAGAGGATGACCACGACTCCTGGATCCAGATAGATGAGCGGCGACCTGAGGACGATTCCAGCAACGAGGCCCCAACCAGTGGTGATGGACGACGACCAGAGGACAGCGAGGCCCCAACCAGTGGTGATGGACGACGACCAGAGGACAGCGAGGCCCCAACCAGTGGTGATGGACGACGACCAGAGGACAGCCCCAGCAGTGAGGCTTCCACCGACAGCAATGGACAACCACTGGAGCTTTATGGTTCTCTCTTGCAGAATTGGCTCCTGTCTCCCGAGAATGGCAGTGCTGACGATGTTGTTCACCATCCACCAGCGGCGGACCGCAGAGCTGATGACGCTGACGTACCCCATCGGCAAGCAGTGCATGGGGATGCTGCTGCTGACATACACCAGCTGCCAGGGGAGATGGATGGTGCTGCCGTTGACATCCCCGTGAATGATGGTGCTGCCATGGACATCCCGAGAATGATGGCGCTGCCATTGACGTCCCCCCACCGGCCAGAGGAGGGGGACATCCAGCCTCAACGAGATGGTAACCCCCCTGAATCCGCTTCCCGCCCCCTAAGTCCTTCAGGTGCACTGAAAACTGCCCTTGGTCGAGCTCTAGCCCCCTTGGGGAAACCAACTCAGACAGTCACTTGAGCGACACCTCTTCGCCACACACGACGTGGTCATTCTCTCGCACTCATATGTTTGTGCTGGATGTAACATCGTCCTGGGCAGTCGTCCAACCTACATAAAAGTCCCAGGAATAGACAACGGGGAATTGGAGCCCCCTGAACTACAGCACCAACAACGCCTGCGGTTTTGGGTGTGAGAATGAAGGCTGTCACAGGCATTTCCATCCAAAATTGGGCTGAAGAACCATTAAGCCGCAAAACCGCCGACAAACTGCCAGGGAGGCCCAGCGGCTTGGACTCCGCCTTCGAAGACTTCCACCTCCACTGCCGGAAGAGCGCCCTCAGCCAAGTCCTCCACAGTTGCAGCCCCCTCGACCGCGGGCCCCACCACAGGGGGGGTCCCCCCAGCCACGAACTCAGCAGGCACAACACCCACAGCAACATGACAGCCCACCATCTTCCTTAGCCCTTTCCCCCCTACCTCCTACCCCCTCCCCTCCCCTCCCACACACTTTTGTACCTTGGAATGGGTCCCAGTCTGAATCCCCCCACAAGTCTGGCCCTCCACCGCCATCCCCTCCAGTTCCTCCTCCCTTACTCACACCTCTCTTCGTTCCTCCTCCTCCCCCCGACCCACACCTTCTCCCCCCCTGTCCTTTTCCCCCTTTTACCTCTCTCATTGCAGGTACCGCCGCCCCCCTCTCTCCCCTCCTTGGCAGATGAGACCGCCTCACCAGCGACGCTGTTAACTGACCACTCTCAGCTGCCAGGAGTGGACCATCAGGATACAAGCCAGGTGACTGCTGACCAAGACGACGCGGTGGAGGAGTGGATTCTTGAGCCTTCTAGGTCCCTTGCTTGATGTACTACACAACCCTGACTGGGACAAGTTTGTCGAGCTAACACGGGAGGTGACTGAGGAAATACAGCGGGCCAACTCCATTCCAACCCAACGAAATAACTCCCCTACCCGCCGGGGAACAATTGATGTTAACGACTGCAAGGCCATACAGCGCCTATACAAGATTCATAGAAGAAAGCATGGGGTTTAAATAACTAGGGGCGAGGGCAGTCGTTGCAGCATACCTAAGGGAAAGGGTAGAGGCACATTTCCCCCAGATCCAGGGGGAGTAGTGGACCCCCTAGACGACCCAGCACTGGTGGAGGCAATTCCTATCCCAACGGGAAAAAAGACCACCCTTCGACTCGACCCATTTACGAGAAGAAATAACAACACGGCTCGCTAAGGCTGAAAAAAACTGCCCCAGGTGATGACCGCATACCTACAGGAACTGGCGACTTGCAGACCCAGGAGGTCGCGTTATAACAACAATCTTTAACATCTGTCTACGTGAGGGCCGCATCCCAGAAGACTGGAAGTCCTCACGCACTATACTGATCCCCAAGTGGAGACCTACAGGAGATAAAACCCAAAGGAGACCAGTTGCCCTGTGCAGAACAATCTACAAACTCTACACGGGATGTTTAGCTGCCCGCCTCAGACAATGGGTTACTGACAATGACGTACTGTGCCCAGCACAGAAAGGCTTTATGCCCAGTGACGGTGTAGTAGAACACAATTATATTCTCCAACACTACCTTGATGAGGCCCGCAGTGGCAACACGGGCACTGCAATACCTCACTAGACATCCACAATGCCTTTGGTTCGATTCCGACTGAACTGATAGAACTATCCCTTGACCGTATGGGTGTCGGGGAGGAGTTCAGGAGGATAATCAGTGGAGTAATACAAGGGAAAATCCACCCGAATCATGACCAATGAAGAGAAACTAATGATATCCCAACTCAACGAGGAGTCCGACAAGGATGCCCCATTAGGGGGTACTGTTCAACATCGGTATCGAGGCAATCCTGCGAAAATCTAACCCGCTGGCATGACCATAAACCCCCAGCTGAAGCACCCGTGCCTTGCATATGCCGATGACATCACTCCTTAGCTCGGACACCAGCACAACTGCAGAGCTCATCAACTTTGCAACACAAGCATGTGGGGGGCTTCGGCTAACCATCAACCCTGCCAAATGCACCTCCCTGCACATGTCCGGAGCCAGCCCACGAGGGATGGGAACAAACCCCATTCCTTGTAGGGACACACAGATTTTGTCCCTTGAGGATGGAAATAACAAAATTCCCAGGGCGTCCCCGTCGGTTTCCAGCTACTACCAGACATAGCCATCATAGAAGACTACAATCAACCCCGGGGAAGAGCATACTCGAGAGCAAGCTCGCACCCTGGCAGCGCTTGGACGCCCTGAAGACATTTGTACTACCATCCGCTGTGTTCGCCATGCGAACATGGCAATTGAGGAAAACCGATTGGACGCGCCTTGACTGTGCACTGCGACCGCGATTAAAAGACCCTGTACCTTCGACCCCGTGCATCTAACGAATACATATATGGCAGCAGCCCAGCCGGGGCCTGTGGCATCCCTTCTGCAGCAGAAGACTCCGACATATTCCTGGTGGATACGGCCTTCAAACTACTCACCTCACTGGACCTAGACACCAGGGACATTGCCCGGAGCGACTGTCAGCAAGTGGCAGCACTAAGAACCCAACAGGACCCAAACATGGAAGATGCATGTGCATTCTTGTCAAAACAGGAGATGGACGAGCAGGTGGACACCAAACACTCTGGTCTAGGCACAGATGCCTCGGGGACGGATGGGTGTTACCATGGTCATACAACAGTGACAGCAGGACACTGGGGCTAGAAATTTTGGCATTCTTCACTAGGACAAAGACACAGGTGGATAGTCGCCCGCACCATCAGGAACCATCACCGATGCTCCAGGATGTCACTCTGCAAGAAAAAACCAGATCAAGGAAAGTGATGCAGGAAAGTTGCACGGGAACGAGCATCGTCCCACTTCATGAGGGAGGGAACGTACACAACCTTCGCCGACTGGAGATTTATACACCGAGCACGACTGAACATGCTACCACTGAATGGCGCACGTCGCTATGACAGGGGCGGTGACCGACGATGCCGAAGATGCCCTGCACAGCTGGAGACACTACCACACGTCCTTAACCACTGTTGGAGACACTCGGCCACCATGACCCAGCGACACAATGCATTGGTGGCGAGGATCAAGAAGGCCGCCCAGGGGCGAGGGTGGAGACTCATCTCCGAGAACCAGCGTGTTGCAGGCGCGCTAGACACAGGACGACCAGACCTAATCATCACGAAGGATGGAGATGCACTGATGATAGATGTCACATGCCCCTTCGAGAATGGACCAGAGGCATTCACCGAAGCAAGATTGCGGAAAGAAGAGAAGTATGCCGAACTTGCAGCTGAATTAAGGCAGAACTACCACCGGGTAACAGTTGAGGCCTTCATTGTCGGTTCACTAGGGAGCTACGACCCGGCGAACGACAGACTGATGAAACGCCTGGCCTCACGAAAATACCAAAAACTCTTCCGAAGGCTGTGTGTGAGCGACGCCATAAAATGGTCAAGGATGATATACACTGAACATATAACAGGTGCTAGGCAGTATTAACAACATTGTAAATTTGTAACATCAAGAAGCTTGTAACTTGATGTTTAGGACATATTACAGTAGAATAGAATAGTGCAGACACCACTGAGTGCTGCTTTGCATTGTATCAATTAGTTATTATTATGAACATGATGTAAAACCCATTGTAGCATTTTTCGAAAATAAAATCTGTTCTTATCAGCTTAATATCTGATACGATCCCCATGTGGGATCTTCGATATTAAACTGATTTTTGGATCATGGCGAAGTGCTAGGGGCTTGCTCCACCTTTGCCGCGGATCGGCCCGGTATTGCAGTACCTCCGGGATTGGTCCACTCCCCTCGGGGAGAAAAAAAATACCCAACTAATCAAATAATATGAAGCAGTGTTCCATACATAACTTCTTTCTGGCATTAACTGGAGCCCAACAGGATGCCCCAAGAATTTCATGTCTTACCCATTCTTAATATCCAGATTTTGACCATTGAGGATGGACAACAGAAGTCTGGAATCCCAATTGGATGCCTGAGGCATTCTTTTTTTTTTTTTATTTTATTTAAAAGAATGCAAATAAAAGTTGATATAAAACACACAACAGATTAATACACAAGAATCCAAAAGTGACACCTCAACCAGGTCGTCTAAATACATGCAAAAGATTAATATTACATAGAACAATGTAACACTGAAGTTCAACAAAGCTCAAAGGCTACCTATGCACATGTTTATTTACCAGTGAAACTAACATCACCACAAAATATAAAACATTGCTACAGATACAAGCGAAGATAAGTATACTAAAGTGACACAAGACCTTAATACTAACACAATTTTGAAATATTACATGCCAGACACATGTATACAACTACCAATAAAGTTGGTATTACCGGTAATGACTTACTCATTACACATTAATTAACCCCCCCCCCCACTTCACCCCGAATGGATATGGTCGTTATCACCAACATGGTATCTTTAACATCCGAACTGGACATACATGAATAAACTTTTTTTTTTTT